CCCCCCCCCCCCCCCCTCAATTTGGCTTATTAATCTTGTCAATTGGTCGAGTCGGGTCTCAGTCTGGAATTTAAGTATATTACTACCCTGTGGTGTAAAACAAAATAGATGGCCAAAGAAATAAGAATTTAAGAACAGTAGTATTACATCAATGAGTAGAAATAATTTTTAAATAACATAAGATTAAGGGTTGAAAATCACTTTTTATCAATTATTTATAAGTTTTTACTCATACCCATAAAATATTTGTTACTTCGTATTAAATATTTGTTTAGGATTCGTTAAGTACAAATATTCAAATAAATACGAATCTCATTTACTTTATAGTATTTGTTTGATAATTGGATTTGGATACAAATTCAAATGCTAGGCATTCAGTTTTGTTCGTTTACAACCTTACTCAAGATCCATTAAAATTATTTTCTGCTTGTTTGACTTAGACCCTTGGGTCTCGATCAAACTGGCTCTCAGTATGGATCTAGATGTCATATATTTTTTTCATGTTTGGATTCAGAATTTACATTTGGATTATATTGGGACATGACATAAACTTTGCTAGTTATACAAAACTATTAAAAATGCCCATTTGGCAAGAGTTTTAACTTTTTGAAAAGACTATATAACGACATCATTTAACTTTAGCACTTTCAAAAGTTAATATACAGTATTAAAAAGCAATGATTTTAAACCCGGACCGGCCATTGAACCGGCATGGAGGCTGGGTCCCGGTTTTTTTATTTTTCCCGGGTCAACGCAGTCCAATATGGGTTTTTGCAGGTTTGGATAAGACTGGTTATGTGTCTAGTTTGCAGTTCGACTGATCCGGGTTTAAGTACACTGTTAAAAACTACCCGTAATTCAAAATGCTAACGTTAATTAAATGTGTTGTTCCAAACGAGGTTAATTTCTATATTCTGGCTAAAAAATAGGGAAGAAAATACATTTCTAAAAAATGGTAAGTGGAGGTAAGAATTGAACTAGAGATGGAACAGAGCTAAAGGGCCTATTTAATCAGCAGAACTTCATCATCTTCATCATCATCATGTGTACTCCATCTCATCATTCTTTCTGATGCTTGTGCCACCTGAATTCAATTAATAATTAATTATGTTTTCTTTTGGTGAAGAAAAATATAAATACTTCTCATTTGATTTTTTTTGCGTAGAATTTAAAAAATGTGAAGTTGTATGGTTCATATTGAATAATATGAACCGTACAAATTCTTTCTTTAAAAAAAAATGCAAACTTTATTGCGGAATGTCGTAACGAAGAAAACACAAACATAGTTTTGGGACAGAGGGAGTACATATTATAAATCCAGATTTTTTTTTAAAAAATAGTGTATTTCAATATGAAATTCATTGTTTCACAATCAATGTCTGAAATTTAGTTTTCTAAAACTCATACATTACCTCGTCATCCCAATTGGTTTTCCAGACTATAATGGACAGAATTATAGTTTGCAAAAATGTTCCCAAAATCATGCCTATCCATATTCCCTGCAAATCCATGGCTCTTATATAGTTAGCTCTTGCCAAATTTTCAATATTTTATGTTTCCATTATTCTTTCTGGTTCTAGGTCTAATAATAATAATTAAAAATAAATAAATAATACAGAGTAATGAGTAATAATAATTATAATAATAATAACAATAAATAATAATAACAAATAAGAATAATAATAAATGTTTATTACCTGAACTCCTAACTCTGCTTTATAACCTAAAAGGAAGCCAAGGGGAAGGCCAAAGATGTAATAGCAAGTCAAGTTAATGTATGCCACAAGGGCTTGCCAACCTCCTCCTACTGCCACACCTGTGTCCCAGCAAAGATTGTTTTTTTTAAAAAAATAACTTTGCACACTTATTTCAAAAGAATATAATTATGTGGTTAATGTTTTATTAACCACATAAAAAGAGGAAGAATTTTTAATAAAGGACCTGAGATAACAGGCTGAACACTGTTAAGCAACATAGTGGCACCAAGAAGGTAAGCCAAGTTGGAAACAGCTTTCTGCATCCTCAGACTGTCTGTGAAGAACACAGCAAAATGATCCCTTGCTGCAATGACTATTGTCATGCAGAATATCCCTATCAACAGTGACTCTGCCACTGTCACATACACTGAGTACTTTGCTGCCCTTGGGTGCCCTGATCCTAGCTCATTTGACACCCTGACACTGTGTCCACATGCATACATACATACATCATCATCATCATACATCATCATCCATGAGTGAATGAGCATTGTGATGAATTTCTTACCTTATTGCTGCATTTATTCCAATGAACAACATGCCTTCCCATCCATTAAGGTTCATGCTGATGAAAACAGTCATTCATCATCAATCAATGTGTTGAAGATTCCAATATATTTCCCAAAAGACTATGGGAAAGAAGTTATGAAATCTGCCTAAATAGGACTAAACCGTTAAACTTATACCAAACCCAAAATACGACTTCTTATGTTTTATTCCCTAAATGGGAGCGTTGGTACTGTGCAATGCCACAACTTGGTATCGTTCGCTGGCGTTTCACAGTGCTTTTGATATTGTTATATATTGGCATTGTTTGGCATAAGTCATGTTTTGGTATATGAAGTATGTTTTAGTCCTGGTTAGGCGATTCTCCGAAGGATGTTTTATGAGAACATTCTAGAGAATTCAGGAAGTTTGTATACCAGATGGAGAGAGAGCCAACGGCGATGACAGGGTCGCCGAGGTGACCGGTCATGACGATGATGGTCATGAAGTACCAAATCTCTAAGCAGAGCATGACAGCCGAGGCGACGGAGAGCCTGACAAAAGGCCAAAGGTCCTTGAAAGCCAACAACGAGAGGCCCCTCCACCCGTCTCTGCACCACCCCACAATGTACACCACTTGGGCCAACGCCACCCCCCAAGCAGACACGTCGTAGGCCACCGCGGCCCCACCCGTGCCCCACCTGAACACCCTGACGAAGAGGAAAAGCAGCCCGACGTGGGTGATGAGGGCCAGAAACCCCACCCACGCCAGAATCCCCACCCTGACCTGCGCCTGCAGGAACTTCTGGGTGGGGAAGTTTATCGCGAGGGAGAACATTTGGGGTATGATTTTGATGGAGAAGTCCCCCGCTAGCTCCGCGATATCGTCTCTTATGCCCAACAGCTTTAGTATTGGGGTGGATTGTGTGTATAGTGGCAACATGCAAACACATGATGCCCCAAGGATTAGCCATGACCTTTGCAGGTACACTCCAAGAAGCTCTATCTGCCCTGCTCCAAATGCTTGCCCACATAATGTCTCTAGTGCACTACCCATGCCTAACTGATAATAATTTTGAACAAGTCCCATAAAAAAAAAATAATAACAAATATAATAAATGTAACTAAATTTAGGTTATATTCATGCTAATACGTTCGGGAAATTTGAGATTTTACATGAATATATCAAGACTACATACATAATAGTACTTCAAGATTGCATATTGATCGGAGATACGTCTCAATAATAGGAAGATCTATGTAAACAAAAATAATCTCTTATTATTGTAGAAATAGTGAATATCTAGGAGCATTGGCGATGATTATGTAACCTTGAAGTATTCTTGAAAAAAATCAAAATTTTGAGATTATTGACAAGAATTTTTCCTGGTTTTTTGTGCATTGATGGAAACAAAAAAACGTCTCAAACTTGAGAAATATTTCGTACTAGAGACGTACTTTCTCTCAAACGCTGTGACTATTGTGATACATTAAAAGTTGAACAGTATGGGTATATATACAGTCACGTCTTAATATTTGTCCACGAGGATCGAAAATTATCAATTTTGCGAACCTTGGCTTTCGCTTAGCGCGTTAAAATTTCCAACAAAAAATAAATATATATGAGTAAAAAAATTAACCAATTCAAGAATTCAAATGATGGAAAAGTAGGATGCAAATGGGAAAGAAACCAACCAAGAATCCAAAGGAAAAGTTAGCAATGACAGAGAGGGAAATGGAAACAGCAGAGAGCTCCACATCTCCAAGGTGGCCAACAAATATACTTGTGAAGGAATTGATCCCATAATTACACAAAATGTTGAAGGCAATAGGACCAGCTATGCCCCACACCTTCCCAGACTCCAACCAGAACAGATCCCTCAAATCCCCGTAGCTTCGCACGGGCGGGTAGTCGTCCCCCAGCAGGGTGGAGGGTGCCTCGTGCAGCTCCGCCACCGCCGTGGAGGAGCCGCCGCCGCTAGGGTAGGGCGGGTCCTCCACTTGTAGGGCGTAGGTCTGTTTAGGCGCAGAGGGCAAGCGGGCGGCGCCTCCCCCTCCTCCCTTGCCATCATTTTCTTTGCCCCCCTCAATCTTTGCACCCTTGCAATGAACATTTGGTTGGGTTCATCCACTGGGGAAATCAGGTTGACATTGTGGAGAATGCCTTGCTTGCTTGTTTGTTTTGGGGATTTTGCTCTTTGAATTGCTTGGCTTCTGTTATGCTACCTATAATCAAGGTATTTTATGACAAGTGTTAGTAGGGAGGCTTGTTATTCATACATTCCTCTTATTTCTTCTATGCATACACNTTTTTTTGCGGAAAACACACTTTAATGCCACTAGATTTTTGAAATACTCCCTGATTTAATTCTCTCATTTTGATTTTTTCTCATTTTTAAGATTGGCCAACTAAAACAGGTGAATTTATCGAAAATATCCTTACTAAAACAGTGGAAATATGTGCGTTGTTGGAAATTTTTAATGAAGGAGTATTTTTGTCCAAAGACACATATATATGATCGAGAAATGAAAATAAATAAATTTGAACGGAAAAAAGAGAAACGGGAAGATTAAATTCGGACGGAGGGAGTATGTTTTTAGAATATATTAAGCTTATCTAATTTTTTATGTAATCATAAATACTCCCTCAATCTCTAAAAAATCACACTTTTCATTTCGGGAATACCAAAAAAATGGTTGTGCTTCTATTTTTTCCTCTTAAGAAAATGAATGCATGCATGGTTCACAATTTTTGTCGTTTTCCAACAAATTCTAACCATTTTTTATTTTTATTTTCAACACTTTTCATAAATTTCATGAAATCGCACATATAAGACATTTAAACTATGGTTAGGTGCCCTAAATAATACTCGCCCTCTCTAGATTTAATCTTCGCATTTTTTCTTTTTATCATTTTTAAGAGAGGTTGAGTATGAAGTGAATTTGTCTAAAATACGTTTTTTAGAAAATGAAAGTAGGAGGTTTGTTGGAAATTTTCATCCAGGTGAGTATTTTTGTCCAATTATACATTTATATGGGAAATGGCAAAGATTAAGTTCGGATGACAGTCACCGCATAATGTTTATCTTTTTTCTTTTAAATTTTTAACAATCAAAATTTAACACACTTCTACCTCAATCAGTCAAAATAATTCACACCTTCACCTCCTTCACGCCCTCCAACCATATCACATATTATAATCACTTCAGATCATACTCCCCGCCACCCCAACCATACCACATAGCCTTATTAGTAATGGTTATTCTACTATTACATAGATTTAAAACTTATTTGAGCAATTGTTTTCACATGAAGGATATTGGGCTTTTGAAATAGAAAAAATTTATGTCACTACTCCAAAATGTTATATATATTATGCTAATACTGCCAAATTTATTAAATGACATCACCACTTCAACAAGAATGCATACCATGCATATGATTATACGTAGAGTTAGGTGCACATGACGAATATTCATTTTGAATTTTGGATTAACAGAATGTTGATTTTCAATCGTGCTCTTCATTCTTAGCATAGTATTCATTATGAAACAATGTAATGTTCATTCTGAAATGACGTAGTCTTTGTTTTAAAATTTTTTAATTACTAGTTTGTCATGATATAGAAAAAGAAAAGACCATCCAACTGTACCATATAATTTGCTCTTTCCAACAATTCACATTATTTTATGATATTACTCTACGACATCTCACTTGCTTAATCACCGGCTACATTCAATTTTCTCTTTTCTGACCCTTACTTAATTTACTGCTCGGGTCCAGCCTACTAATGGACGTATAAATACAATGTGATAACCTTTCCAAAAACTCCCCGAGCCCGCACGTAGGTACCACAACATGTCAACGACGATCCACAACTCCACAAGTAATAACTTCGCCAGGCAAACCACCACTTTCAGATTTAAGGCTTGTTTGGGAAGTAGAGATTAGTGTTAGTGTTTTGAAAAAGCTATCCACTGGCAGTAATTAGCGGTAGCATTTTCAAAGAAATCTGCACTGTTGATTTTTTTATCCAAAATACTAGCGCTAATGCTATTCCCTAATAGGCCCTTAATATCTGAGATATCAAATTCTCAAAAAATATGTTTATTGAAGATAAAAAGCGGTCCTCAATTATTCATTTGAACATTTTTTATTTTGCTTTTTTTTTTATTTTTTTCTCTTTTAAAAAAATAATGTGCCAAAAAATATTTATCACTTAAATTAATTTTATCCATTTACTTTTCATGTCATCTAAGATTTTCTTAAATGTGTAACAATTTATAAAAAAAATATTCACAAATGAATATAAAAATACAAAATCAAGAAAACAATAAAATATCATTAACAAAAATTAAAAATAAAACCTTATTCTACATTTTTAACTAATACTATCTCCATCCAAGCGTTTTTGTTCAGTTTAACATTTTCGAATCAAATTAGATAAACTTCAAATATCGATTACTCTCAATTTGAATTTTTTATTAGTACAATGAAATAGAATTTTTAAAGTTCTTGACAATATTAATGTAATAAATCATTTTTATATTAGTATAAATACAATTTTTGTCCAATTCAAGCTCAAAATTTTTCATTTTTCTACTCAAAAAAGCAACACTAACGAATACACTGGACGAAGGGAGTATAATATGGCTATATATTAAAACATTGTTCAACATTTGAAATATGTTAAGGTAGTGTTTGGCAACTAGCATTTCATTTCAATTCATGCATTTCAATTCCAAACTTTGAAATCTTGAATTTCAAATGACAAGGGGAGGTGCATGGATTTCAAATTAAGCTTTGTTATGACTCAGAAGAATTTGACTCAAATCCAAATTCAAAATTTTTAAGTTTCCCAAACATGGAATTTGAGCCAAATCCAGATTTGAAATCCAAATCCATGTTCCCAAACATACCATAAATGTTTTCTTAATTAATTGCTCACAAACACTTTTCATTCATATTCTAGAACTTATATCATTTCTCTTAGATTTCAGAACTCATATCTCATCATACTGTTGGAACACGGGTTTACGCCTCCGTCGTACTAAACTGTGTTCGTTTTTATGACAGGTTTTGATAATGCCAAACCGCCGCGACATATCGAAGCTAAAGTGAGCAAAACTAAGGCGATGGAACATGGCATGATGACTTGAGAACCAAGAACCCAGAATCAAGAACGAAGAACTAGAATTGTATTGAGTCGGTCTTAATGTGATCAAGACCGGCACAAAATTCCAAATCTTGGCTCTCTAGGCTTAATTCATAAAAATCTCTTTTACATATTCAAAAATATTTTTCTTAAGTTTTAAACTTGGCTCAAAACACTTGGAGTTCGCCCAAGCCAAAAATCAAGCCATCCGGCGTTCGGCTTTCAGAAACCGGCGTTCGGTTTTCGGCATTGGTTTTTGGCGTCGGAACCAACCAAGTGGTTTTCAACCTTTTATGACTGGTTTTTACTTCTGGGCATATTTAAATAGTTCTCCAACAAAAACGCCTCAAAAACCACTCTCCGCTTTTGATCGTTGAGTGAAAACCATGCGAAACGGCACAAACTTGGTTAGCCGTGGTTTTCAACTAAATGACGTGGTTTTCAGGATGGTTTACTTGATTTCTTAGCAAAATGCAATAAACAAATGTTTTCTAAACTTGTTTTTTTATTTTGGAGAACTTGCATTTTTGACATCGGCTAACGGCGTGACTAAACCAACCATGGGTCTGACTAAACCAGCCCAACAGCGATGTTGAGGTAATCAACAGCGCTGTCTGGCCTGGGTAGCTAAAAACATGGTTTGGCGTTAAGTCTTCCAACAGCGATGTTGGACACTAGACATCGCTGTTGAGCCAAGGTTGGATTTCCAGAAACTTCTGGAACAGCGATGTAGGCTCCCCTACAGCGCTGTCCAACCTAAGCCAAAAATATGGTGCATTGGCAGAAAGTTTTTGGACAGTGATGTTGACCCAGCAACAACGCTGTCAGGCCAAACTTCCATCTCCAAAGGCAGACCTAAACAGCGATGTTCCAGTATAGAACATCGATGTAGAGACTTGACCGTTGGAAGGAATTTAAGGCTAAAACTTTCCTTGTTTGGAAGTCAACAGCCAAAACAGCGATGTAGGATTTTAGACATCGCTGTTGGCATGACCGTTGCTTCCCATTTTTTCAAACCGCAAGCCTAGAACAGCGATGTCCAGGCCTAGGACAGCGTTGTCTGGGTGATTTTCAACAGATCCAAATTTCATCAAATCCCACAAATTATGCCAATCACCCCTTAAATACTTTGGTCCGTTGGAGCCTATTTTTCTACTATAAAATGGGGTGTTTGGGTCTGTTTTACACATCAAATTGACTTCACAACTCCTACTCTTCCATTGCAAATCATTCTTCAATTTTTCATAGCTTTTGAAAGCCATTTTTTGTGAAGCTTGTGTTGTGTTCTTGAGCGTTCTTAGTTACTCATTATCCACTCTAAAAGAGAGTATTGCTCTTGAGCGTTTTTAGTGTTCTTAGACACTTGACAAGAGAAGGTATTTCTCTTGTTGTTCGAAGGAAGGGTTGTTTCCTTCGAAGGTTCGTTGAGGTTCGTGTGACTCGAATTCTCAAGTTGTATGGGTTTGTTAAGTACCGTTAAGCTTAACGAGATAGTAGTGTAGCTCGAGAGAGTCTCTCGGGAGGCTGGACTAGCCACAAGTTGTGGTGAACCAGGGTAAAATCGGTGTGCCTCGTTCTTTTCTCTTTACTTCTTGCTTATTCATTTTTTATTCCTGCGATTTCTTGATCAAACGCTATTCACCCCCCCTCTAGCGTTGGTCTCTTATTCTAATACATACTGTTAAAACTCAATCAACGAGCCCTTAGCAATTGGATTTGGAACATAAGGGTCCATTTGTACAATCCAATTCCGACCAATTGTTGTATGTACATCTTTGATTTGGGACATAAGGGTCCATTCGTTACACCAAATTGACAGAATTGGAATTGAAATGATAGTTAAAATTCAATAGAATTGATTTGGATGAAATTAAATTCTCCAATTCTAATTCATTTTTGGCATTACCAATCTCGGATGCTCATCAGAACTGGAATTGTTGTTTCCAATTCCAATTTTATAATTTGAATTCCGTGTGCCAATTGTAGCCTAAGAATATTTTTTGAAATAATACTTGTTCCTTTGTTTGAAAAATTAATTACGTAACTCTTTTTGTACATTATGTGAATTCTGAAAAAACACCTGTTTAGAAAGTATTATGGATAAACATCTAGTACACATTGTGTACATAGATTCCAAAAGAAAAAGCTAAAGCCCTAAACAACGAGTTATAATTTTTTTTGAAAGAGGACAATTTTTCAATAGAGGTTGTGGTGATAAAAAGACAATAATAATTTGAAAATTTCAGAGG